ATTAAGGGATTGATATTTTAAATTTATTTGGCTGAAGATGGTTCCAAAGTGAACTGAAACGTACTATATATGGAATAAAGAATCAATTTTTTTGGATTGAAGAAGTAAGATTGCGTATTAATTACCACGCTGACTCTCATTCGCCCTGTTTTTGAAGTTTTTTATGTTGTTTAAAGTTCAACAATTCGAAGATCAAAGGCAACATGATTACATGATAGGCCTGGACGAAATGTTTGATGTTTCTACAAATTCCATTGTAGGAAATTGTACTATTCCTAATAGTCGGGGTAATTATACTGTTTGTAGTTTACTTTATCGACATATGAACCATAATGAAATATAGCATTCATAACTTTGTATGTCTGTCCAGCTATTAATATTTTCGTTGTCGGAACAGCACGTAAACTAAATTTGTGTGGTACCTTTACTAATTTACCATCATCTGAAGAAAATGATATTAAGTTGATAATAAGTATTTCTTTTGTCAAAACTAATTCTCTTTTAAATAATATATCATTTCTTCCACATTAAGTAAAGACGTCATCACTCTAACTCGGTTTAACAAAATGAGAGTACAAAAAGCAACGAGTATGTTCAGTAAAGATGTAAGCAGTAGTCTACAATTTTTAAGTGAAGAGCGAAACATTAAAGAATACTCAACAACAGCGACATTCATTGAAATTATTACTAAATGGTTTAGTCTGATTACATCACGTTATGCAACACTAGCTTTAGGCAAAAATCCTGCAAACGAAAACAGTCTTCAAACATACACAAAAACCGTAGAATTTTTAGAATCCTGTATTGATTTATTTTGTGACATGCAAATTGAGAAGAAGGAAATATTCAAACCAGTACAAACTGGTCTTATGATAACAACAAAATCATATATAGAAATAACCGAGTATTTAATTACAAAACGCGGTTTTTTGTATGTGCTAGATAACCGTAGAATTTTTAGAATCCTGTATTGATTTATTTTGTGACATGCAAATTGAGAAGAAGGAAATATTCAAACCAGTACAAACTGGTCTTATGATAACAACAAAATCATATATAGAAATCACCGAGTATTTAAATAATTACAAAACGCGGATTTTTGTATGTGCTAGGAGCTCGTTTTTCCAATGATTTTGTTGAAAATTTGTTCTCTAATGTTAGAAAAAAATTTCCTACACCTAATGTATTACAATTTACAAACAGTTTAAAATGGTTGACTGTATCTCAATATTTGCAAGATTTACCAAATACTAATTATGACATAGATACTGGTGATTTATTAGCAGATATTATAAAACGCTCTAAAAAAGATAAAGTCGATAAACAATATGAAATGCCTGTAATACATCTTGAACCTGAAACCATATCATTCCAATTAGATAATGTGCAATTAAATTCATTATACCATGTATGTAGTTATATAATATCCAGTATTAATAAGAATCAAAAACTTTGTGATAGCTGTCTTGACTCTGCTGGGTCCAAAACATATAATTCTAAAGTGCAATATTCACGATTAGTTAGCCTGAAGCGTTATCGAGAAAAAACATTATTTTTTGTTAATGAATACACATTTAAGTATTTTCTTGATATGTATATTATTATTAACAGATATTTGCCTCACATAAAGAACATGAATTGCGATATTCTTCAGTTTTTTATTATAAAATTGAAGGATATTGAGTGCAATTCAATAAAAAGTTGCCATGATTTGGCTAATAAAATTAAAATTCGTTTCATTAAATACGAAATGAAAATAAATTGTCGTTTAGGACGACTAGAAAAGCCTGTTTATAACAGTAAAACCATGGCTATGCATTCAATAATTAAATAATATTTTATTTAATTAATAAGTGCATATAACAATGATTTTGCTATGGTTTTGTGTGTATTATTTATATGTTTTTTTATTTCTTATATTTTATTCTATTCTTATATTTTTTATTACCAATATTTATTATTCCTATGTTTATTATGTATATTCATATTTATTACTAATTATATATTCCTTTATATCGCTTGCTTGTATAGTCATTTGTGATACAATATTGATATATCTAGATAAAAGTTTTATATTAAAATGCATATTTGCTTTTATTTCCCGTATTTCTGTTTCCTCTTCTTTCACATGTATAATCATCACGGATTGGCTGCGTCATTCTGTATCCAGCCAATCAAAAATTGGCCCACCTATGCCAGTCTCTTATTATAGTGTCTCTACTATATAACACACTAATAGAGCCCTCTAGACTTATTAGTCGAAGACTATCTAAAGACTACTAAAGAAATCTACCAAACATATCGATAACTGAATCAATTACCGATGTATGACATAATAATTTTACAACACTCCCACTATTCTGTCATACATGCAACGAGAGCTTATCCTTTAGAAAATTAAAGCGTCCTTTAGCTAATCCTTTGGTTAAAATATCAGCCAACTGTAGTTCAGTAGGTACATACTCCATTTTAATTCCACCGTTCTGAATTTCATCTTTGATAAAATTCCATTTATTATCGATATGTTTAGTGCGACGATGCAACTGAGTACTGTTACCATATCTAATTGCACCCTGATTATCACATAACAGAAGTAATCATAATCTTCATTATGATTAAGCGAATAAATTGATCGTTGTAACCAAATCAGTTCTTGCACAGTCATTGCAGCCGCTATATATTCGCTTTCCAGCGTTGAAAGTGCGTTTACGTCTTGTTTCCTAGATGCCCATGCGATCGGTCCACCGCACATTAACATGATGTAGTCGCTCGTTGATTTACGATCGTCCTGGTCCCCAGCCCAGTCTGCATCTGAGTATCCTGTCACCGTTACTCCGTTTTTGTATCCGTTGTAAACAATTCCTTGGTTAGTCGTTCCCTTTAAATACCGGACGATTTGTTTTACCGCCTTCCAGTGTTGAGGTCCGGGGTTTTCTTTATATCTACTGCAACCGCACTCACGAGCTTGGCGCAACTTCGTCGCACATTCGCAGTCAAAATTCGACAGGTAGTGACAATCTAAAGCTCGCAAAGACTCTCC